AAGCCAAACCAAACCAAACCAAGGCAAGCCAAGCCAAGCCAAGCCAAACCAAGCCAAACCAAACCAAGGCAAGCCAAGCCAAACCAAACCAAACCAAACCAGTATTCAGTCCATTGCAACTACCAATAACTCTATATTTACCTGTGTGTTCTTCCCTCTCCCATCTCCCATATCACCTCCTGGAGTAATCAACATACTGATTTTTGTGATGTTCTTCTTGCTTAAAAAACAACAACAAAAACCATGTATATCTGTAGGACTAAATAATATATTTTCCTTTGCCTATTTTTAAACTTTATAAAAGGGCATGCATCAAACTTTACGGCGTCTTCCCCAACTTGCTTTTTTCACTTGGCCTTATGTTGTTAACATTCATATATCATGTTGCCTGTAACAATATATTTTATTGCTGTGCAAATATCCCATGATTTTTTTTATCTATCATGTTTGTCATTGGGAATTTGGGCTGCACGAACATTTTTACTATTATGAACTGTGCTGCTATGATCATCTTGTACATGTGCAGAAGTTTCTCTTGAGAACTGTCAGACAGGATAAGCAGATTATGCTGTGATAACAAATTAACCCCTAGACATGGATGGCCTAACACAACAAAGGTTGACTTTGGTGGGGGAGTCTCAGGGACTCAGGCTGACAGAGGCTACGTTATTATGTACCATTAGATGCATCTTCAAGACTGTGAGACCTCCTTTGCCCATTTGGGAAACAGGGACACTGTGGAGCTGTACTGGGCCTTTTGGTGCCTTTTCCCATAAGTGACAGATGACTTCTAGCCACACTTCCTCTACCTAAAGTAGCCATATGGCCAAACCTACTGCAGGAGAGGGAGGGTGAGAACTGCAGGAGAGCAGATGGAATGCAGTCACTTTGTCTCTGATACTTAGAAGGGAAATTTCTGGATTGTAGGGTTTATGAATGTTCAGTTTTATAAGACAATGCAAATTGTTTTCCAGTGTTGATGCAAATTTATACATTCAATAGCAGTGTAGAAGAGATGTAATTTATTTCTTTAAAGCATCTAACAAATATTTGCTCCCCAAAGTCCTTTTTCTGAGGCATGTTTTTGTGCTTTACCTTTATACTTCCAGGCAATGTGAATAGAGATATTCTTATGCATATTTTCCAGATAAAATAAGTGATGGTTTAAATAAGTTATGTGGCAAATTTGTGTTGTTTTCTTTGGTTGTTGTTGTTTGTTTGTTTGTCTATTCTATCCTTCGTGTCTGGTAATAGCACCTGATCTTTCATTTCTTGGACCACGTTTTTCCACTGCATGTGGTGATGATGACTCTATCACTGTGTTTTGATCCCCTCCCCTCCCTCTTTCTTACTGCAGGAAGTATATGAGAAAGAAACTGCATGGTTCAGATTCTTTTGTCCCTTCGCCACAGTGAATGGTTCAGGGGTGGACCTATGATTCAAATTAGATAATCAGAGACTAATGTAAAATTTTGCTTTTGTATGTTCAGAGAGAGAAAAACTATCTTTTAATGAGACTGAGAGTTGTAAGGTCCATGTATACCTGGGGCTGCTGTAAGCTGTCTGCCCTAGCTACCTTGAACACACTATCTGCAGAATAAAGCCAATATAGAAAGTAAAGAGAGACCAAATACAGGAGAGAGAGAGACATAGAGCCTTGGCAACATGGTTCGATCTCTTTGATTTAGCTATGTCAGAAGACCAATCCCTGGACTTTTCAGTTACATGAGCTAAAATATTCCCTATTTTACTTACGTTCATTTCAGATGGATATCTGGGGGTCCTAATCAGCTACTTAGTGTCAGGGATAAGATTGGATTCTAGGGTCTTCAGTTTCTTGGTTGGACTCTGTTCCCACAAATCTTATTGTGACTCTCGGCTCTGCTCTCTGCTGGGCTAAATATTACCAGCTTCAGTTTCACATTGATTTCTTGAGGTAGAGACCTAAGAAAATTTCAGTAGAAGAGGAGGCTTTAAGATTTTGAGGAACCATTTGGAAGGGTACATCATAAGTAATGTGTCACAGCACAAATTAATATATTAGACAATTTTGTCATTGTTCCCAAGTCTAGAAATTGATTTTTGAGTTCCCTGGTCCATGGCACTATAAAAAGTTACACATCCATCACCTTACACAGGATGGTGAGATTTTATCTTTGTACCTACCTCAAAGTGACAAATAGTTAATTAGACACATAAAGCATTTTCTAACATAGTTTTGAACTTGAAGTTTTGCTGCTAACAGAGAGAAGAATCCCAGAGAGTATGGGGGGTCTGAACACAAAATAAATCCAAAACTCTCTCCAATGTCTCAATAACTGCCAAGTCAGTTCTGAGGCTAATTAATCAAAACAAATTTACAATTAAGCCCACAAAGAAGCACTAATTACTATGCTTGGCAGGGGGAAAATGTGCTGAAAAGGGAAACCTGAAAGTGAGAATGGAGAATTGTCTTGTCATTGTCCTGTCAAGGGCAGTGCTTCAGGGCAATCGCACAGGGGGCACTGGACCTCCTTGTACAAGCAAGGATGTCGCAGCAGCAAGAGGGCTGGAGATTCAGGCCCCTGCCTCCTGGGCAAATGCAGGGATCTTGTACCTGTCCTCCAGGGTAAGGCCGGCTGTCAGTTGAATGTTTGTATGCCCCCCCACCAATGCCCCTTATATATATAAATTTATTTATTTTGAGAGAGAGAGAGAGAGAGAGAGAGAGAGAGAGAGAGAGAGAGCAGGGAAGGAGCAGAGAGAGAGAGAATCCCAAGCCTCCCTCCCCAGAGAGATATATACTCCATTAGTTTTTCATTTGCCAGAATCATTGGTTTTAAAATATATTCTCTTTCCTTTTATCTATCTATCATCTATCTATCTATCTATCTATCTATCTATCTATCTATCTATGTATCAAAAATATATTTTGATTTATTTATTTTGAGAGACAGAGAGCAGGGGAAAGGCAGAGAGAGAGAGAGAGAGAGAGAGAGAGAGAATCCCAAGCAGGATCCATGCTGTCAGAGCAGAGCCTGATGCAGGGCTTGATCTCATGAAGTGTGAGATCATGACCTGAGCTGAAATCAGGAGCTGGATGTTTAACTGGTTGAGCCATCCAGGCATCCTGCTCCCCTAATTTGTATATTGAAGCCAATCCCCAATGTGATGGTATTTGGAAGCAGGGCCTTTGGGAGGTAATCAGATCATGAGGCTGGAGCCCCATAACAGGATCAGGGCCATTATAGGAAGAGACAGGAGAGAATTTGCTTCTCTCTACTCTTCACCATGTGAAGACACAGCAAGAAGATGGTCATCTGTAATCAGGATCAGGATTCTCACCAGAACCCAACTGTGCTGAGACTCTCTGATCTCAGACTTCCAGCCTCCAGAACTGGGAGAAATACATGCTTGTTGTTTAAGTGACACAGTCTATGGTATCTCTTTATAGCAGTCTGAACTAAGATAAGACACGTTCCTTCCAGAAAAGCATCATCTTTTTAGAATCTGCCCCTTGGTCTACATGTGTATAATAGAATGAGGAATATAGAGGCTTAAGGTTTTGAGGGATCCATATCTTTCCCAATCATCTCTAGTGAATAGGGCTTATAGACCCCTCTTTCATTGGTTGTTGGCATTACTGATAGTCTCTGCCTAATTCTGCATACTGAGGCACATTGGTCTCACATGAAACTCAACTGCTTCAGTTTCCAGAATATGATGGACTTGAAGCAGGTGTAACTTAGCTAGCTTTGCTGCCATTGGTTTGGTATTGATATTTGGTGATAGTGAACTATGACACAGGCCACTGTCCTTGGAGTTGTAGAATCTCTGTATTGATTTTCAGTCCTAGCCTCTTATTTTGGATTTTAGTTTCTTCTACTCTGTTTATTCTCTTTCCCCCCAAGCCTGTCTGGCTCTTAGAATATTGTTCCCAAACCTTGACTGTTATTGCTGGATGACAAATGCCTGTCTAATTCCTAATGTTGATCTCTTAGTCCCTCAGTGCATATAGACTGACCTATTAAGTGCAATTTTCTGGCTAGAGTCCCCCTCTTCCTTCTGGGGACATAGTTGTATTACATTATGCAGCTTCCTCTACTGGTAATTGGGCCCGTATGCCTGAGTTCTGGCTGATGTAATGTGAGGGGAAGTGATGGATGTCACTTCTGGACCTGGCTTCCTAAATCTCCCTGAAAATCCTTATAGGTTCTCTCTTTCTTTAATTGCTGGTTGGATGTAGAAGATTCAGTGGAGGATTCAGAGGCTCTGGAGGAAGTGGAAAAGCAACAAGAAAAGATCCCAGTGTCTGAATGGTTGTGCAGAGCCCAGCCGCATGCTGACCCACATCGGCCTAAGACACCGGGATATCGAAGTTGTTTGAGGACAGCAGTTGTTTGTCTCAATGAATGCATCTTACATTCATCCATTCAGGGAACAGATATTTACTGAATACCTACACAGTGCTAGCTAGGTTCTGTGTTAGATGCTGGAGTTTAATGGTGAAAAAATATATATGTTGGCTTCATGGCTCTTATAATCCAATGGTAATGTCAGTGGTGATGTGGGGCTTGTGGAAGGAGATAGAACCTAAGTAGCATGATCAACAATGTCAAGGAACTAATGTCTGTTGAATTTAATATGATAAAATTGGGTAAGAAAGACTTTCTGAAGTTGTGGACCTTGAATTGTTATTCAAATAGAGTAGTACATGAGTTAGTAAGTAGTTTATGTGAGTAAAAGGCTCTTTTGGGTCAAGGTAAAGTTAACTAGAAAAATGTACTACAGTACAGGGAAAGAATCGAAAGCTTACTGATCCTTACTAGATCCAACCAATGTGCCTGTGTTCTTGTTTAATTCTTCTTATATTATAAAGTAGATATTATCTCTCCTTTTTGTTGCAGACTGAGGCTCAAGGACATTAAGTTATGTGACTGAGGTCACACAGCTGAGAAATGGTAGAACTGTCATTCTAATCTAAGCCTATTGGGCTCTTTCTGCACCATACTATTTGTTTGGGTCAGGGTTATTCTGTCACAACATCATGGACGGGACACCAGCACCCTGCCTGTTAGCCCACGTGATGGGCTTCAGTCTTGGGAATGAAAGCAAGTGCAGAGTACCTCTCTCCCCGGAGAGATATACACTCCATTAGTTTTTCATTTGCCAGAAGCATCGGTTTTTTAATATTTTCTCTTTCCTTTTATCTCGGGGGAATATCAATCTGTACAGATTTATTATTAATTCCCTAGTAACATGCTTAGCTGCTCAAAATTTTTTACTGTTGCTTGTAAAAGAAGGCCTGCCTGTTCTTGAAATTTCAGGGACTTCGATCACTCTGGGATGAAATATCACCTTGAGAGACGTAAGGAGAAGAGAGAAGTATAGAAAAAAGTAACTCCCTCCATCCCCCACCCCATCTGCCTTTTCTCTGAAACAAACATCAGCCACTTTTGGGAGGCTTTCTTTCCATTGGATTAACCCTATGCTGTTTTTCCATGGTCCTCTCCTTCCAAGGAATATTGAACTTATACTTAAAAAGGCATTTCCAGAGGAAATGAATCCTCCAGCAGAAGATTCTCTCTCTCTCTCTTTTTCCTCCCAACTTTTTTTCAGGCTTCAAAGTCTAATTTTTTAATCAATTAATCTGGTAATTAGGGCATCTTTCATATGTGGATGCGACAAAGCATACTTTTGATTGTTAAGGTGAGTTATTGAAAACTTTACAATGAAAATTCAGGAGAGTTAACTTCTGTACACATTCACATTTTTTTAAATCAAAAAAAATTTTATTTAACAAATATCAGTGAGAGGGACCCTGTGTGTCAGTGCTGAGCTGCTACCGGGGAAGTGACGTCTGCCCCCATGGAACTTATAGTCTAGTGGGAAACAAGAACACTAAACAAAGAAACACTGATTATTTTATAAAACCATATAAACTATAAACCTTATATAAAGTATATAAAATATATTATCCATCAGTTAATTAAACTGCCTGAATTGGGTGGGATGTAAGCATGAAACAGTTTTGTTTTTCTGTAGTTAGTGCCTTCTGTGATATGTAATGATTCTCCTTTCCTGCTTGTTAATGACTTCTAGAGAGGGATTCCATAACTTTCTAGCCACTTTAGGGTATAAAATACTCATTCCAGACCAATTTAGAAGTCAGCTCGTGGAGTGCCTGGCTGACTCAGTTGGTAAAGCCTGCAACTCTTAATCTCAGCATCATGATTTCAAGCCCCACATAGGGTGTGGAACCTACTTAAAAAAAAAATTTAAAAAATAAAAAAATAAAAGGAAGAAAAAAGACGTTAGCTCCCTTGTCTATCTTACTTTCATTTCCCTCTCCCAGCCCTGGCCTGATCCCTGGTAGGATGTACCCTGGGAAGGCAGGTATGGTCTGCTTTTCCATTCCTGTTTTCCTGACTCAGTCTGTCAATTGGGACCCATCAGTGGTGTGTGGAGTTGGGAGAGTGCTGTGGGTGGAAAAGAATTACAGAAAAGGGGCAAAAGATTTTTTAATCAGCTAGTGCCCTGTGTGGTGCTGTCTTGACTTCTGATTGTCACTGTGGCAGCTCACCTTCAGCAACCCCCTTCTTCCAGTGGTGCACCTGATAATTGCCTGATACTAGGACCCCTCATCTGTAAGGCTGCCCACTCTGTTGGGCAGGACACAGCCAGGCACCTCAATCTGGGCTGCCTTTTGTAGAGTCTACCCAAGGAAAACATACACATCCTTCCTCTTCTCTTGTAGGCATTGATTTTGGGTGGGGGGTGGGGAAGGAAACTAAAAGCCATCTTAGGGTCTTTGAAGAAGAAGAATAGACTCTTTTATTAATTAAAATAGACTCTTTTAGGGGCGCCTGGGTGGCACAGTCGGTTAAGCGTCCGACTTCAGCCGGGTCACGATCTCGCGGTCCGTGAGTTCGAGCCCCACGTCGGGCTCTGGGCTGATGGCTCGGAGCCTGGAGCCTGTTTCCGATTCTGTGTCTCCCTCTCTCTCTGCTCCTCCCCCGTTCATGCTCTGTCTCTCTCTGTCCCAAAAATAAATAAAAAACGTTGAAAAAAAAATTTAAAAAAATAGACTCTTTTATTAATTAAAATTTTAATTTTATTAATTAAATAATAGAGATCATTTAATGTAGCCTCATCAGTTGTTCAGTAAACAGACACGTTAGAATGTAGGCACTAAGAGCACTGGATTTTGAAGGAAATGAACCCAGGTCCTAGTCTTGCCCTGTAGCTTGCAGATTTTGTGACTTCATGCCTGCTACCTCACTTTTCTATCAACAACATCAAACTGAGTATTACGTGCCAGATGTTCTACTGATTATTTCACCATTTTATCTTTTTATCTAATTTTGGCTTAAATGACGATGTTAATGTTACCGAGTCTTCGGTTCTTGTCTCAGATGCACCAAAGAGTTGGAGATCTGAGACCAGAATGGGGAGATAGAGTTTATTGAATAGATAAGTATAGTACACTTTCAAGAGTGAAAGCATATCACTGCCGGAGCAAGAGTGGCAATGGCACTGGGAAGCTCTAGCTGCACCCTTTTAAGTGTGCTTTGTGATAAATTTGGCTTTGATTGACGTTTTTGATTGACGGCTGGTGGTTACAAAACACTTTGGCTTTTGCGCATGAGCCTACCCATGATACATTCTGTTATACTTGTATTTATTTATGTATTGTATATTTATGAGTGTCAGTGAGCTTTTGTTGTGACCTTAAAGATACGTAAGGGCAAGTTGCACCTTTTGTGCACATGCTCAGCTCCTGGAAGTCCCTGGTGGCTTTTGAGCTGGCTCAGTGGCTAGGCCTTTCTTGTTCTGTTAGCCCTTGGAGGCCGCTTGGAAGGTATGGCTGTTAACCTCTGGGAGCTGGGGGTGTGGCTCCATGGGTGTTGCCAGCACCTGCTTTATCCCTTCTCCTTCATGCCTAACTAACTGTCTAACACTAAGAGTCAGTTACAAATATCTCATTTCACCAATGAGAAATTTGGAGGCCAGAGAGGGTAACTAACTTACTTAAGAGGACACAGTAAGTGGTGGTAAATTTAATAATTTAAAAGTAAATTCGGTATTATAAATGGAGACAGTCTGAATCTAGCACTAGAAACATAATCATTTCACAGTATCTGCCTCAGTCTTCTTACTAGGAAAAGTAAAGAAAATGCTGATATTTGTATCATAAACCAGTGAGAATTTAAATGCAAGGCAATATGCATAAAATGTGTGGCACACGGAAAGCACTGGGAAATTTTAGCTGAAGTTATTTAAAATTATTTTTCATGTTGGCTGCTTTTAAATATGGAGCTGCATTTAGCTCATCACTGCAGTTAAATAATTGCTTAAATGCCTTGGCTTGTCCTGCAATGATTTTATCATCATTTGGTGTTCTAAGCGTAATTTGCTACTTATAAAAACACTTATGGCACTTTATAATTATTAACACACCATTTATAGTAGCTGTAATATTTTTTTCCTTTTTAAAGTTGGTTGTTGTAGTTTGTATAACTCCAGTATTAATCCCTTGAGAACCTCAATGCCAAGGGCAACAAAATATTCTTGTACATGTATATGCAGAGTAATTAAAAACGTGCAAGCTCTTGTTCATACACATGTGGCAAATGTGTCATATGTGGACACACACACACACAACACGTGTGTCTGTTACATTAGTATTTGACAGTATAAGGCATAGCGTAGTGAGTTATTTATTTCTCTCATTCCTTTGCCAGAACTTGGAAAATAATCTTTCCTATTTTACGTTAATCTATAAAATTGACACATATATAATAAATTATAGTAGACATAGGCAAAGTCAACTTAAGTCAGAATGACTCCCAGGCCTCCTAGAATTGACTGTAAGGTGATGGAATAAGCACATGTAATTAATGAGGGGAGGTAGGTCAGCGTGGGAGCAGAGACAAGGGAGATATCTGTCAGTAAGTGCTGGTAATTCTCATCGAAGCATTGACCAGGGGAAAAGGAGGCTCAGATCACACAGAATAACCTCTAACTCTTGTGGAAACAAATACAACAGGCAATTCAGTCTGATGCCACTAATTCACTGAAGCAGCTAATATCCTATTCATAATGTTCTTCCAGGTTGGTTTTCCAATACAGGAAGAATATAATAGTATTCTGGTGGGAATAACAGTTGTAGTTTATAATATAAATTAATGAATGGGTGTTCTGACTCCCTGAGTCTCATTCCTAAGCGATGGTTCTCTCTCTTTCTTTTTAGAACTAACCAAGTTTGAGCCTGCAATCTTCATAAAGTCACTGGGCCCTAGGCCTTGGTAAATGTACCAAGTTTTTACCAAGTGGCATATGTCACTATGTGACAAAATAGCCCAGCCCTCTGAGAAGAGATGCAGTTCTCACACCTGAGAGTGATTCAGATGAATCCCTGGGAGGGGACATTAATTCATCCTTTTATTCATTTATTTAATGAACATTTATTGAAAACCAATTATATACGAGATTTTCTAAGAAGCACTGGGCATATAGCAGGAATCTGCAAATTTTTCTGTGGAGGACAAGAATGCAGATAATTTAGGCTGGCGGGCTATGAGATTGCTTGTCACAGGGCTCCTCGGTGGCTTAGTTAGTTGAGCGTCTGACTCTTGATTTTGGCTCAGGTCATGGTTTCATGGTTCGTGGGTTCAAGCCCCACATCAGGTTTCAGGCTGCGCACTGACAGTGTGGAGCCTCCCTGGGATTCTCTGTCTCCCTCTTTCTCTGTCTCTGTCTCTCTCTTTCTGTCTCAAAAAATAAATAAATAAACATTAAAAAAAAAACAAAAAACATTGCAGGTCACAATTCAACTCTGCCATTGTGGTATCATAGCAGCCATGGATGGTACCTAAATAAGTGTAGCTTATAAATTTTATTTATGAATGCTGAAATTTGAATTTCATATAATTTTTAATTGCCATGAAGTATTGTTCGTTTGATTTTTTTCAACCATTTAAAATGTAAAAACCTCTCTTAGCTAACAGGTCATACAAAACCAGAGAGCAGGCCAGGTTTGACCTCTTGGCTTTATTTTACCTTTGGTTTATAGCAATGGATAAAGCAGATATGATACTTGCCTTTTGGCACTTTCACTCTTGTGATATATCCCCTTCGATTACATTGCAGAAACTTACAATATGCCTGTGACAGGGGCAGGGCCATCCCCTTTCTACTCACAGGGCATGACCCTAACATTTGTGGGACCCAGAGCAAGAATACACATGAAGGCCCATATCTTGACCATAAGTCAAAATATTAAAATTTTTTTTTAGTTTTTTTTAATTACTTTTGAGAGACAGAGACAGAGTGCAAGCAGGGGAGGGACAGAAAGAGAGGGAAACACAGAATCCAAAGCAGGCTCCAGGCTCTGAGCTGTCAGCACAGAGCCAGATGCAGGACTCGAACTCACAGACTGTGAGATCATGACCTGAGCCGAAGTCGGCCACTCAACCAACTGAGCTACCCAAGTGCCCCATAAGTCAAAGTATTTATTTATTTATTTATTTATTTAAAATTTTTTTTCCAACGTTTATTTATTTTTGGGACAGAGAGAGACAGAGCATGAACGGGGGGAGGGGCAGAGAGAGAGGGAGACACAGAATCGGAAACAGGCTCCAGGCTCTGAGCCATCAGCCCAGAGCCCGACGCTGGGCTCAAACTCACGGACCGTGAGATCATGACCTGGCTGAAGTCGGACGCTTAACCGACTGCGCCACCCAGGCACCCCTAAGTCAAAGTATTTAAAAGCTACACATCAAGTTGGCAAAGTGGTAAATAAAATGTATTCTATCATATTATCTGCTTTTAAGCTTCATTGATATATAACATTGTGTAAATTTAAGACATACAGTGTGATAATTTGATGTGTCTATATATTGCAGAATGTTTACACGCATAATTGCATGTTAGTTAACACATCCCTCACCTCACATAATTGCCATTTTGTTGTTCTTGTTATGGTGAGAACATTTAAGATCTAATCTCTTAGCAACTTTCAAGTATACAAGTATACCACATTGTACATTACATCCCCAGAACGTATTCCTCTTCAAACTGGAAATTTGTAGCCTTTAACCAACATCTCCTCATTTTCCTCTCTCACCAGCCCCTGGCAACCTAGAAGTCCTGATTCTAATTGAGACTACTCATACTCTTTGGAGTTCCACACCAGAATCCTGCAGCCTGAGAAGATACAGTCCCAAGCATTGACTTGCATCTGGCCCTGCCTTCCCTCTCCACTCCCAGCTCCATCTTCCATGGTGAGGGGCTTCAGGTACATTCCTATTGACATCTTAGCCTGTAAATCCAAACTCTGACCATATCCATGCAAGCATCTTCCCTTGGGTCTACTTGGGTAAGAGGCTGGGTATAGGCTCTGGAAATGGCTTAGGGACAGTGGGGTCCATGGAATATGGTATAGAAATGGGAAGGGATTTAGGCTCCATGTGCCATATCGTATTGGGAGAGCAATAGGATATGGCACATGGAGGCTCAGGGAGGAGTTTTCTTAAGTGTAGAGTCCAGGAGAGGGACCTCATGGGACAATGAGGGGATGGTCCATGATGGAGGGCCTTCAGAGGCCCTTCTTCTTTATTTTTGTCTCATCTTTGATAAAGGTTCTCAGCTCCTTCCTACTTTGGACTTCTCATCCCTCTGGTCTTTCCTTTGTTTCCTGTTTGAAACACCATCCTTCTGTCTCCCTTTTCCTCCTGCCCAGACTTGGCTAGTCTTTTTGGAGGCACTCTGGATGTGACCAGAATCTTTCTCTGGTACTTGTTCTAAATGCTAATTTGAATCTCTTTTTCCACTTTAGTATGTTTGATGAGAAAAAGTAGCCCTTTGCTACAAGCAAGAGAAAGGGGGAGGGAAATATCTAGAATGCAATAGATTAATACTTTGAGACATGGCCATGCTATATGTATTATGTTTCCAAAGGATTACCTATTCATTATTTTCCAGCATTAATATGAATTAATAGTTGCTTATTTGCAAATGCTGATAAACTGTAAAAGAAAATACCAATTGAAGCAAAATGTAAAGGAACAAAACATCTATACATTGAACAATATAAAACACTGAGTGCTTTGAATGCATCAGGTACTATATGTTGATTTATTCAATTATTTCAACTCTATGAGATAGATAATATATTAGTATCAATATTACAGGTGAAGAAACTGAGGCACAGAGAAGCTGGGTAGTTTCCCTAAGGTCACACAGCTAGAAAGTGGCATAGCCAGGATTCAAACTCAGGCAGCTTGGCTGCATGTTTACTTTGGTGTTAAAAGTTATTAGTATGTGTGTAGATGGAGAGTGGTCAAAAGTTTAACTGTTCATCTGTAAAGATCAGCTTTTTAGCCACATCTGCAGAATCAGAATTCAGTAAAATTCCTTAGTGGTCCCTCTGAGTTTTCTTAGAAACTATTCTTGTAATAAGGCAGTGATAACTTTCCATGTTTTTCCCGTGGCTAGAATTTGTTCAGTTAGACCATGCTCGCCCTGTTTCTAGAACTTTCCATTTCCAATTGCTTTCCTTTCTCTGGGGGACTTACCCACTTTCCCTTACCACTTGTTCATAAGACTTACACATTGTGAAGATCTTTATATTCAAAGTCAAAGAAGCTGAGAGCTGCAAAAGCTTAGTTGTTCTTGTCAGTCTGCCTTTTTTTTGAGACAGTTCTTCCAAACTTTTTAACACAATTTAAACATATATCATAGATAGAAACATTAATTTTTTTTTAACATTTACTCATTTTTGAGAGACAGAGACAGAGTGCAAGTGGGGGAGGGGCAGAGAGAGGGAGACAGAATCCAAAGCAGGCTCCAGGCTTTGAGGTGTCAGTGCAGAGCTCAGCATGGGGCTTGAACACACAAACTGTGAGTTCATGACCTGAGCTGAAGTCGGATGCTCAACCTACTGAGCCATCTAGGTGCCCCTAAATAGAAACATTTTTTAAACAAACAATAGGAGGTTTGTCTATCTGTAGGGAAATTTGGAATGGAACAACTGTTTGAAAGTTGTTGTTGTTTGTTTGGTTTTAAGTAAGCTCCATGCCCAGTGTGGGGCTTGAACTCATGACCAGGGGGGATCAAGAGTCACATGGTCTGCTGACTGAGCCAACCGGGCACCCCTGGAAGTCATTTTCATGTGAGTGTGATTATCTGAGATATCACTCTTCTTTAAGGTTGTCCGTAGAAGGAATGGATCATTGAGTTTTGTCAAAGTCTAGATGATTATCCATGTACTTTGTTTTTTAAGTAAATAATTTACCCAGGTTTCTCACCAGTTTTCAACTAAATCAGATATAAAACAGTGATTGCTCATAAAAAAATTTCAAAATATGCTAAAGGAATTGGATCCTACCCTATTACTTGCTACTGACTTAGAGATTGTAGACATTGGACTTCATTTAAACATGAACTCCTATGTGCCAAATAAGCGTTTTTTTCACAAATGGGTTATAAAATAATGCATTTATTGAAATTTATGTGTAACTATAGGCTAATATCTCATAGAAAGTCTGCTTTTGAACTGTGAATTATTTGGCTTAAAACATCAGCCAGCACACATAGAGTTGTGATATTGATGACACAATCATACCTCAAGAACAGTAGGAATTTTATATGTGTCAGTGACAGATCACAAAACTTTTTTGGGTTTCTCAGTATTTCAACAGCATTAATAGGATGTACCATAATACTCTCCTTTTGGATATTTTTTTAATATTCAGTTTTAAGATGCTATTGATTATAAGATGCACCATCGATGTAAAAAGAGTTTGTCAGAGAAACAAAAAACATTTCAGCATATCAAATATGCACATCAAAGGTGGGATTATATCCAGATTTTAGAAACATTACAGTGTGAAGAAATCTATATCTCAGAATTGGAGCAGTGTGGCAATTCCTACAAAAAAAAATGTAATAAGAATAATTGAACTGGTTAAGCAATCCCCTTGACCCCATTTCTCCATTGTAATAATAATATTAATGATATAGATAGCTTCAATTTAGAGCTTTCTATTTTCCAGACATTGCTAACACCTACCATGGATGATCATATTTAATCCTCACATTAAGTATTTCATGTGGGTACCATCATTATCCCTGTTTTGAAGACGCAGACACTGTTTTCAGGTTTAGAGTGCTTACCTTTAACATACATACATACATACATACTGGCCAAATACCCCTTTCCCAGATTTTACCCCAATTCATATCCATAATTACCCTACTAGTAAGATATCGAAAGAGAAAAGATGGGACTTTTTGATAACTGTTTGTGGGTAGCTAATTTTGGAAGAGGAAACAATAAAAAATTTTATGGCAACCTTTCGGTTAGGTTCACTTTAGACTCCACACAAGGGTAGCTTTTTATCTCGAAGTATGGATTTGTGATTTAGTCACATGTATAAGAGTGAATGTAAGGCTTACCTTTTTGAGAAATATAAGGTCTTGGTATTGGTTATTAGTCTTTCATTGTAAATTTTGCACTGTGGAGGAGAAAGAGAGTATGGGATTTCCCAAAGCTGGGAGACTTCTGTACTTCACTTGTATCTTAGTTTGATTTTCTCCAAAAGCAGACCCCAAGACGAGCATCTGGGTGTAAATGTATTATTTGGGGAGAAAATCTTAGGAAATATGGTGAGGGAGTAGGGAAGTGAGACAGAGGAGAGAGGGAAGCCAATCAAGACTGTGTTAATGAGCTGGCTACTATTTTGGGGAACCAAGTTTTAATCCTGCAGGGAACTTTCTAAGATACTGTTAAGGCCATACCTAGAACTGGGGCTCCTGGGTGGCTCAGTAGTCAGTTGAGTGCCCGACTCTTGATTGGGTTCAGGTCATGAGGTCAGTGTTGTGGGATCAAGCCCCCTCTCGGGGGTCTGTGCTGAACATGGAGTCTGCTTAAGATTCTCTCCCTCTGTCCCTCTGCCCCTCTCCCCACCTCACATATGCTCTCTCTCTAAAATAACAATAAAAAAGAACATATGTAGAATTGTACACTGGACAGAAGGCAGCTAGTATAATAATTTGAGATATGCTGTCCTTCATTGGTTGAGAATTGCTTCTAGCATGCTGTCACTTCCAGCTCCTGGCTGAGAATGCTCTGGTAGCCATAGAAAGCCAGAGACACAGAACTTGAGGTAGGGCCCGTAGTCATTGGTATATAGGAACTAGCCATCAAAGTTGCAGGTGACATCAGGGAAGGACTCAGGGGATATGGGAAAGGTACCAACAATGTCTGCCAGAATATTCTTGAAATTGGAATCTAGAATTCAGTGAATCAGGATCAGGTTGCTTTTCAGTGATGTTTTTTTATCAAAGAGGCTATGCTCAAGGTATTATGATACCCCTTCTGATAAAAATGTGATGGATTTGGGAACAAATCCAGGTGTCCTGGCTCCAGAGTCTGGGTGTAAAACCCTCTGTGTAAAATACTCTCTCACTCAGATAAATCACCTTTGTTCTGGTCCAAGCTTTCACTGAAATCGCTTCAGGCTTCATCTTTTTCAGATTTGAAATTAAGGCTAGGGTGAGTGCATTCATGTCATGATCTTCAACCAAATTTTGGACTTAACTCTGATTAAGCAGAATCTGTCAAATCACAATTTGATGGCAAATGTTACATCTTTCTCAGCACTCTGTTATCACCTTTACCCTTTGGTTTTCTCCTCAGGGTCAGAGTTTACATGAGTTACACTCCCCTTTCCTAGCTCCCAATAAGTCATCCTTGCCTTCTTGTTTTAAAAATTATGCTGTGAGAGTTATTACAGATGAGAGAAGAGAGCAGGCACATTAGGGATAGCCAAATGAACATATGCCCAGCGGCCAGGCACATTCACTAGTTCTGGGATTTACTTCATCGTATCGGACTCCTGGTGAGGGGTGGTGGAGAAGGGATGTGATTCAAATTCAGGGTCCACAAAATTAAAAATGACTATAAGCCATGGAATTTGGGGGTCACTGAAAAGTATATGAAATCTCAAACATTGAATGTTCCGTTGTCAAAGGTTTACTGCAGTATTTTTGTCTCTGTTGGTTCAGTGCTAGCCATCACTGTGGGATGATGTAGAATCTGCTGATTCTTAAGGTTAGGTATTTTAACTATTCTACATTATG